CACATATAAAATCGGAAGAATTGGCTGCGATGTAAAGAACTTACAGCGTCCAGTAAACGAAGACTTAAACTTACATAATTCAAAGGTTTTTATGGCTACATAGTCACATGGTCCGCTTGTTACTGCGGTCTCCTACCTTCCAATATTGCCTAGTCATTTATTCTCGGTTAATATTTCAGACGAATTGTTTTCGTAAAAATGGGAGACGTCAATTATCATTTCTGTCTTCCAGTCTGGATCTCGGCCCAATGATAGTAACTACCGGGGCATACACAAAACACCGTCTCCAGAAAAACTTCTTGAAGGCATAATTTTCAATGAAATTCTTGATTTTCGTCTAGCTTATCAACCTTTAGGGTCTAGTCAGCGTGAATTTTTACCTGAAGCATCCTACGAAACTTGTCACTTAGACTTTCTTAGTCTAATCACTTTTCTTCTTAATGGGCAGCAGTCAGTGGTGGTTATCAGCTTTGATCTTTCTAAAGCCATCGACAAGGTGTCATATAGACGTCTGTTGGTAAAATTAGAAGCCCTCAGAATCCCTACTCGACTCCATCGGGTCCTACCTATTCAACCGATATCGGAAAGTTATGGTTAGTAATAGCTACCCGACACCTCACTCCATCATGCGTAGGGTGTTTCAAGGCACGGTTCTGGGTCCGCTACTCTTCCTTCTTTACATCAGTGATATTTCTACTGACATCAGAAATTCGCGAACCTTTATTTACGCCGATGACCTTAATTGCGTCTAATCGTTTTCCAAGGACACCGCAAATGTTTGCGTTGAAAAAATTAATGCCGATTTACTACGCTTATGGAAATGGAGTTCAACATGGCAGATGGAGTTTTCATCATCCAAGTGTTGTTTCACGTCTTTTAGTTTTGTCGAAATTCCAGGTCCCACAATTTTAAGAATAACCCACTTTCAGAATGCTTCACCGTATAGGATCTAGGTTTACGCTCTGCTCATGCTGAGCAAATATATGAGTTCATATCATATAATTTTTTCCTTCAGGAAATGAAGCTAAGACTTTATAAAACATGCTGTTCTTCCCGTTCTCGAGTACTGCTTTGCTTTCTTTAGTATAATAAACGCCTGTGACCGTAATAAGATCCAAAATATTCAGAGAGCCCTTACTTGAAAACTCTTCTGCCAAGCGACACCCAGTATTTCTTCTATTGAGAGATGTCAGTTGATGGACATTAAGTTTTTATGGGTTAGAAGACTCGAAGCTGGCCCATGCTTCCTGGTTCGCATCAGCCCCAGCTCCAGTCTTCCGCGCATTGACACTCTCACTCCCAGAGATCAGTCTTATGCCACACGTAGCCCCTTCGTGGTGATTCCTTTGCCCCTTTGATCTGAGTTATCGGTACTTAAATCGAAATTACACAAGTACCGTACACCTGAAAGCATGAAGGCGCTATTGACTGCTTCGTTCCCGTGCATTCATCTCCTTGAATTTGAGAAGGGTTATCCTGGGATTCAGTGGTAGATCATGCATGTTCGGCTTGTTCAAGTGGAATCTATCGCCTATATTTTTACAACCCCTGTTTTCAATTGGCCACTAAATCTACTGTTATCATTCCTCCCCTGCAGTGATGCGTTTCGCGGTTTTTTGATGGCATCATCTCATTACGTCGCCAGGCGGTCTGTTGCCGATCACAGCGGAATCTTCTCTTTTAACCAACTGTTAGTAGTTTAGTCAGTCGGCAAGGAAGCGTCATGGTTGCATCCCCCCGTACGCGTTGATGGCTGCCTCGGCCTTTGATGTCTCCTTGTCGGCTGTACTCTAAGTGGACAGGGACCAATCGGGCCTGGCTTCTTCCAGTCTCACCACTTTGACACTGATAGCCTCATCCGATTTTGGAATTCTGAATTGACGATGTCTGTTTCGGAACTCCAATACACTACCATGTGCAGGTTAGTCCCGTCCGACTCGTATATTTACCCCTCCATGTGCTACAGGTTTTTCTCCTTAAAAGCTAACCAGTGCACATTCATTTTGTCTTTCTCAAAAGAGGGGTCTATTTACTCTTCGCTGGCCGCTTTTTAATAGCTGACTTCTTATTTTATGAGCATGAACTAAACACTGCACAGAGTCCGTCTATTTGTCCTCAAATTCCCTTGAAAATACCTTCAAGGGTACTCAATAAAGGAGTTTATTTATTTATTCCTTAGGGAACATGTAGTTTGAAGAAGGCCCCCGGAGGTTATTTGTAGTGGCGAGTTGACGAATGTCATCGCATTGGAGGGCACAGTCCAGGCCACGCACATTATGGAAAGTTCGTATCAAGTCTCCGCGCAACTGCCTATAACTCAGATAATAGAGACCACGGTTATTTAGAGGATCTTGCATGGCAGTGCACCTTGATATCTTAGTAACTTTGTGGTCGGCCTTTGCATCCCCTTGGGTAGATTATAATCCTGCTGCGTCCAGAATCTGCGGGCCTGTATCGCATATTCAAGATGCGGCCTTGCAAAAACATTTTCATCGAAAACTCTGAATGTCCGCATGATGGCGAACAGCATTGCAGTTGCAGCCTTAGCCGCCCTAAAGCATTGTATAGAAGGCTTTAGGGGACCTGCAGTCCATTCTCTGAGATCTTTCTGTTTTCGATTCTTACAGTTGCATCCCGTTCAAATATTAAGGTTGTGGATACGGAACTGATTTCGATATCTCAGACGCAGCATGATGCATTTGTTCAAGTTGAAGGACAGGGCTATCTGCGGGATGACTGGCTCAGTCGACGGGGGTCTTCTGGGAAGTTGGCCTCTTCGGCGGCATCGTTAATGACTTTCCAGAGTTTAACGTCATCCGCAAAATGGCAAAATCACAGTCCAAATCCTGTACGCAATCACTAATGAACAAAAGAAAGAGGGTCGGTCAGAACTCTAAATCTCGTGAAACTCCACTCCACGACTGCGCGTCATAGTTGCTGTTACTCTACAGGGACCATTTGGGAACGACCAACGGGGAAATGCTTAGTTCATTTGAGAAATTTGCCTTTGATGTCCATCACTCTCAACTTTAAAGAAAACGCCGGCGGTGAACACCGTCGAACGACTTCCAACAACTGTGTCAGGAATTGAGGTAACGACATGTGACGTCACCATCATTTCACTATCTATCTAGCAGCTTGGCGGACGTTCTGTAGACATACTCAAGAGGGCATTGAAAGGGACATGGAACACAAGACACGAAGGGGACTACATCAACGCGTTCCTTCTTGGCTAAATAACAACATTAAAAAGTGCTCTTGACGGCCAAACACCGGTCGAGCGTTTTTTGAGCCACCAACCAGATCTACGAATGCAATATCGAAGACTGAAATCTGAGTTCCCCGATTGGCAAAATAATACTTTCAGGAGGAAAAAGAAGTGTTTCCTCGCAATTGCAAAGCCGGAGGGATGCCAAGGGAGGACGGTATAGTAAAGGAAGCCAGAGGCATTATGTTCCGAGTGAAGGGGACAACTGGAAAAATCAATGGACTGCAGGCTAGCTCAGGCATAGATTTATCACAGACGACAAGTAACACTCGATCTGTGATGCGATACCTTCGAGGTTCGATCCAAAGTTAGACAGTCAACCAACACCTGCCGTTTTTAGAAGCCGTAGAAGTACAAAGCCGCTAAGCAAAACCGATCGTAAACACGGATAAGGGAAGGTACGAGATCTAGGTTTCAACAAAGGGGGCTGTTGTGGAGGGCGTAAACGATGTAGAGTCACAGCCTAAGGCGAAAGGAAGACGTGGCCAAAAACTGAATAACAGGCTAAGTCGGCATCGAGATACATGTGTGGAATTGAGCAGTTAGTCCACATGAACTGCAGCACCGAGCGTATGCAACGCATTCAGGGGCCGGCTGAGCATTCGAAATTTTTCCGCTAAAGCATTCTCGCCTGAAGCGGAGAATTCACGGTCGAAAAACCATAGACCGGAATGTTCTATCTCCACGACCGGCGCACGATAGGTCTAGATGCTCGGGAATTCTCAGGTCTCAGGTAATTAAAGTGCTTGTTGATAAATCAAAAATTCTGCGTTTACAGGTTTTGAGAAATAAGCAGTTGTTCTCAGAACGTCCTTTCCTCTCCGTCTACCAACCCCTAATCCTAGAACAATTTTGCTCGAAAATCTACTATTACTTCACTCCTGTTTTCGTTCCCCTGCTTGCATGTCGGCCAATATATTCGGTATCAGCTTTTCCGTTTCCACCTTCTCAATTACCTATGTCTCATGGACTTCTGTTACAGCAAATGAAGACCGGAGATTTGTCCGTAATGGCCTCTATTTTCGATTTTTCTAATAAAAAAGAACAGACATTGTTTGAAGTTAACGTCTACGGATATCCTCAAGAAAAATAACCAGCATATCTGAGGATCTTTAATTGTAATTATTTAACGCTTTAATTGAGACATGCAGCCCGACTTTTATTTTGTTTGAATCACATTTCGGGCTCGTCGCGGTCCGCACAGTTTCGTGCGCGTGTTCCATCGGGATGGCTAGCGTACGTTCTTTCCTTGAGTTGCGCGATTACTCTTGTTCGGTCTTATATAAAAGGACATTTTAAATCATGTTCCTAGGTTTTTTGTAGATTTAATCAGTCGCTTATGTTATAAGACAGACATTTAATTTATTCAGGTCATAGGCGCTCAGACATTTCCTTCTTGTTGAACCTCACGTCGAAGGTGTTGCCAATCTACAGATTAGACCTAGCCGGAGGGCTGTCTGCGCAATGTGGGCACTTGTGAGTGGTAGCGCAGGTCAGCGATACTGTTGCTTGATAGGCTCAAGGGTGCGCCAGGAAGCATCGGTGTTAATACCATTGATCCTTACTATTTCGTACTGTTTTCACTGAAAACTTGCAGCGACGTCGTTTACGACGCAATGAGTTCTCATCCTATCCTTCAAGTCGTTTTGCCTTTTGTCGAAAGTGGCATCTGTGACGCCCAAAAACGTTTACTCAGGCCGTTTCGCTTATTCTAGGCTTTCAATTCATGCTGCTTGCAATTTGTAGGCCGAGAACACTCTTATACGTACGAGGAAGTTCATGTCCAATAGACTGCTTTCGCGAAAGCAGATGATCTTGGACGTTTTCCACCCTGGCCGTTCTGTCCTCTCGAAGAAGGAAATCCGAGATCGCTTGGCGAAGAAGTACAAGACCACGCCCGACGTCGTATTTCCCTTTGGCTTCCGCACCAAGTTCGGTGGCGGCAAATCCTCAGGATTTGTCAATGTGTATGACTCGCTGGATCATGCGAAAAAGTTCGAGCCGAAATACCGACTTATTCGCGTAAGTCTCATTTGATGGATCTATGGTTCTTTAGAATGGCCTTATGGAAGGAAAGAAGTCCGGTCGCAAGCAGCGTAAAGAAAGGAAAAACAAGATGAAGAAAATTCGCGGTGTAGCCAAGGCAACTGGTATCGAGAAAAAGAAGAAGAAGAAGGACTAACTCTGTAAATAAATCACTTCAGTTGGTGCGAGTTCTCTATAGTTATCTTTGCGCACCATGGCAAACGTTGTGTAGTCACATGATAATTTTTTCACGGTCCTTGCCCGAATTCTCCCCTAGAAAACTCGCGGTGCCTGATAATAAGTTTTGCGGGTTCGTGGTTTGGACGAGTTTCAACTTAGGTGCATCCTTAATCAGTAGTCAAACTTTGTTGCAGTTTCTTCTGCTTTCGGCCACCTACACTAACAGGGGTGCGTGTACTAATTGTCGCCTGTCTAACCTCTAGCTGTTTGGTATTGATACTGCTGCAACAGCATAAGAGGTAGATTGGGCTACCTGAAAGAGGGCTAAGGCGACCCTGTCTTCCAAACACGTCCAGTTTCAGACAGCGCAGTACTTCCAACGCTTTGTTCCGCGTCCGCTTATTTGGATGTGTTATGTGCATATCGCCATCTCTAAGTTACAAATAATTGGTTGTGTCTGGAAGTTGCCGGAATGTGATCCTATCGGCAGGGAGGCCGTCAGCGCAGATTGGCCACATTATTTTAGCCCACGTCAAGCCCTTGACCTGCTCAGTGCCTGAAGGCAAGATGGTCAGTGGCCAAGGCTCAGGCTACGTGCATGCGCGCTTGACCGTGGATGCATCACAGAGCCTTGATTGAAACCATTTCCTCTCAAACGATCGGTGCCCATAAGTTGGTGTAAGCTATGGGTCGTAGTGAGAAGTATGGTACTAGAGGTTGCCTTTATGCATCTAAGCCACAACAAGCGTGCACAAGGTCCAGATGCCGACTGAAAGTCGACTGGCGAAGGGAGCGCAGCATGCCCGGATTGCCGAAGGCTTCGGCACCAGAATGCTTCAAAAGCAGGGTGCAGTTTCGGAGTTACAGTGGGCCTTCACTAACGGCGACGTAAAAAGGCTCTGCCAGCATTTGGAATCGGGATAACAGCCAATAACGCCGGCTTGACCATTCTGGCTCCCTCGGTCTTTGTCAGTGAAGTTCCTCCGCAATGGATAGCTCGTCGCTGCACTGCAGCCCGGATTGGCCCTCGATTCAGACGTCCTTGGAAATGCCAATTTCGATGCTGCTGCCAGGTTAGGTGGGTGGATTTCAATCTCGTGACTTCAGCTTCGCGATCTCGGCCGACAGAAGACGAACCGTGCAGGCCAGTCGAGTAGAGCGTTGGGCCTAGTGACCTGCTGGACTCTGACACGAGGAATTAGGGCTGACGTCATCGTTTGATGGTTAATAAGCCGAAAGCGTCGTTCCAAGGATCTTATTCTTTGTCAATGTTTCACAGTAGTGAAGGTAGTCCGGACCCTACCTCTGTTAAGACTTCCAACATGATGAATGGGGCGCTTTTCATATTTACGCTCCTACATGCTTGTCTTGCGAAGTCCAGAAAACGAGACTAAACGTTCGTCCCGCCGAATCTCGTTATCTATACGGTTCGTCTGTTTTTCTTCAGCAAAGTGCGCCTACGGCGTCAGCTCTTACGATTGCTTGGTAGAGATGACCTGCAAGCGAGGTCGAACCGTCCATTCCTGTATCATGGTCATCGTTAGGCATTCCTGCCTCATCCCTGGGTCAGGGAATTCGATACTAATGTCGCGTCATGACGTTAGTGCTAACTTGGAATAGGCGGTAGTGATGAGCAGCCGGGCACCGATTGGGGTCAGGGAAAGAGACGTGACCGATTTAGTTTACCGGGTTCTGGGCGGCGCATAGGATGGCCTTTGTTTGCTGTGCGAACTGCGCAACTAGCCTCTGGGCAGCTCTGTGATACGCCGTGGGGCAGGTCCAGAAGAGAGATAAGAAGCATTAGGAATTGGTGTGAGCACCGCTACCAGTCGTATTGTTGCTGTTTGCTTGATTGGTCTGAGAGTGACCTCAGGCCTCCGGGTGAAGTGGTTGACGCTCATGAGGAGGTAGGAGCAGGCAGCGGACGAGAACAGGAGGCTGGACCTACTGCCCCTGTTGGCAGAATTTGCGGGTTAGCGTTTTGTTATGTCGGCGACAGTTCGAGCGAGCCTGAGTCCGAATCATGTGGTCTTTGTGCTCCCCAGGATGGACGGAGATGTCGACGACTGGCTTGTCCACCTATTGAAGGAAGTACGGACATCCGAGTAGCACAGGAATGGAGACAGGATGGTGCCAATCTCTGCTCTCGAGTTGTGCCCGGCCAAGTCTTTCATGTGTTTTGCGCCGACCCCCTTCGTGTGACATGGTGCTGCTCCGTTTGAAGCCGATTGAGTTCATCCAATACATGACAACGCTGGACGTCCGGCCAGTCAACTCTAGAGTATGTCCTGAGAACGTCTTCATTTTGCCTACTCGGATGTGCGCCACAGCAGCTCCCGTTCCGTACAGAACACGCGTTTGCCTCAGGTGGCCTGAGGGTTGTAGTGACTGGGGTCTTCTCAAGACTTCGTCTGTTGCCACAAAGCGTACTGGTCGCGACGTCCTCCCACTAGTCGTTCATGAGTGACCAAGGACTCCAATGCCGGTTCTCACTTATGCCCCTAAGTAGTTAGGACATGCGTAGCACGATCTGTGTGGATGATGTCTGCTCAGGGCAGGGGGTAGGAATTTAGTCGGTGCGTTATTCGTACTTGGCACAATTTTGGTGTTTTGTTTTCCTTCAGTTTCACGGCCATTATGCTGGTTCGCCCATTAAGGACAAAACAAAACGACTGGTAAAAGGCGAAGTCTGGGAGTAGTGCTAACACTCGGCCCACATTCGATCGTGTTCGACGTGGTGGTTAATGTCTTGTGAAGACGTCAGTCCCGAAGGTTTTGGCGATGATTCACAGAGTTGTAGCATCTATAGGGCAGCTATATTACACAAAATGTCAACCGGGAAGATGGGTTGTCTGTTAGCCTGGCTGTTGGCTACCCGTGGCGGATGGTGGGACGACCTTCAGCGAAGGTTAGCTGCGAAATAAGCAGACCCCGGTCTGACGAATAAGCAGTCGCGGACCAGCAGCGACATTGCTACCAGGGTGCGGTGAGCTGAGGTCTCTCACGCTGGAAGCCTTATAAAAAGCCACAAAGCCCAATGACGGGATTGTGACATGGCGACCGTAAATCGCCGTCAAAGAAGCTTGCTTGCTACCGCTGCCTTGTGGTTAGGCTTTTAATCCAAAGCGCTCGAGGAGGCAACCTCTAACAAACAATCCGAGCGGCTGTTGGGGACTCATCTGTACTTGAAATTCGTGAGAGGCCTAATGCAATGTGCCCGATCACAGTATTGTGACCCATGCTACGGCGTCCGCGGGAACCGACGCGCCCCGCAACCCTGGTACAGTGGTGCGGGTGACTAGTATGCGAGCTGGACTACTCAATCAGGGACGGACTCTTGGTATTGGATGCTGGAATGTGCGAACGTTCCTGGACCCAGGTACCCCAAGTCTGACCGCCTTCAGCCCTGATCAGTACAACGTGGATGTCCGCTGTCCGTCTGAAGTCCGACTTCCGGACTCAGGTCCCCGCGAATTAAAGATTCCGGGAGTCGAATCCCACTTCACCCTGTACCACAGCGGCACGCGCGACTCTTCTTGTCGACACGGTGTGGCGATTGCCCTCTCGCAACAAGCGAACCTCGCGCTACTTGTTTGGGAACCAGTCAAGAACCGGATGGCCTACGTGAGACTGAAGGGCCACTCCACGAATATCTCAATCGTCTCTGTGTACGCACCAACCTCGGCTGCCGAATAGCGCGATAAAGAGACGTTTTACTCGCAGTTGCGAGTGTTAGTTGAAAGATTGCCTCGCCGCGATCTGCTGATTGTTACTGGCGATTGGAATGGTCGAAGTGAACCTGGAGACCCCACAACCAGTCATATTCTTGGCCGCTTTGGATTTGGTTCCATATGTGAAAATGGTGAGAGATTGCCGAACTTCGTTGATCGAAACCGATTGCTTGTCACCAACACAGGTTTCCAGCATCGCAAAAAACATCTGCTGACCTGGTATTCAAACGACGGCCATACGGCCAGTCAGATTGATTACTTACTAGTCAGCTCAAGGTTCCGCAGCCGGGTTCACGATAGCAGATCGATGCGTGTTGCCGAGACTGGTAACGCCCGTGGGTCCGACCATGTCCTCGTTCGTACACGCCTGAAAGTTAATCTCTCATCCGCGCCGAAAATGCCGCGTCCAAGATGCCACGATGTCACAAAAATCCGGCAAACCAGCACTGCTGAAGATCCGAGCAGAGAAATCCGAACCTATTTTACGACCTGAACCGTCAGAGAAGTCAGTAGCCAGTGGTCGTCACTAAGAACGTCACTCTGTGGAGCAGCTGAAAAAAATCCATGGATACACCCAGCGACGTCGCAGTGACTGGATCAGAGGAAGAACCCTGCAATTTTCTGCTCAGACGGCTCGATCCAGGTCTCGTAACGATGACTGCTTCCGCCAACTTCGGAAGATGATGGCGAAATCGGCCAGGGATGACCAGAGGCAATATTGGGCTGAAATAGCGACCTCCATGGAACAGGCCTCGAACATTGGTGACATTCGAAAACTACCAACTTATCCGCCAAGCAAGCGGTAAGCCCTCTACACAGAGTGACTCTGTTCGCGACGTGAACGGCGGCTTTATTGCTGACAACTTTGCCAAAGTCGAGCGCTGGCGTGAGCACTTCGGTCACCATCTCAACTTCGCTACCCAACCCACCACGTGCTTGCTCTTCCTTCAGCGGAGTTTCTTCCCTCTTCCACCTATGCAGTGCCATGCGACCCCCCCCCCCTCTGAAGGAGAATTAGTCGATGCCAAACGAAAGTTTCGCAACAACAAGGCACCCAGAGAAGACGGTATACCCGCTGAAATCTTCAAGCCTTATGTCGACACTCTGGTGCCCTGGCCCCATGAGGTGATTGAACGAGCGTGGAGAGACGAGGTTGTTCCTGATGACTGAGACTTAGGCATCCTTGTATCTCTCAACAAGAGGGGAGATAAGACAAGATGCGAGAACTACCGCGACGTAAGTCTCATCGACTTTGCTATGAAGACCTTCGATATTGTCCTACTCAGGCGATTCCAGGCTGTGCGTGACTCCAGGACGAGGCCCAACCAAGCCGGCTTTCGTGCTGGACGTGGATGCGCAGACCGGATATTCACCCTGAGGCGCATTCTCGAGTTTTGTCATAGCTACCAACAACCAACGGCCGTCTGCTTTTTTAACTTTGCCGCCGCGTTCGATTCCGTTCACCGTGAGTCTATGTGGCGGATAGTGGCGGTAGATGGTGTACCGGCAAAAATCATCGCCATGATCAAGGCCTATTATCGCTCCTCTAATGCGAGAGTCCTGGTTCGCAACAATCTTACCCAACCGTCCGGTATTCGGTCTGGCGTTCGACAGGCTTGTGTCCTGTTGCCCATTCTGTCCAACTACGCTATTGACTGGATTCTCTGGAGGGCCCTACACGAAGGTGACGGTGTTGAGTTTGCACCCAGACACCGACTGACTGATCTCGTCTATGCCGATGATATCGCCTTACTTGCTTCAAGTTTTGGTGATCTGCAGTCTATGGTGTCAAGAGTGGACGAGGTCGCTAGATCGGTCGGTTTATCCATAAACGCTGGGAAGACTCTAGTGTTTTCAAGCTGCAGCCCTGAATAGGAGAGGGCATCCCTCGGGATTGATGACTGTCAACTTAAAGAATTAGACAGCTTTAAATACCTCGAGGGGAGGCTGCTGTCTAATGGACAGAGGAAGGACGACATTGTCTACCAGGTTGATGCTGCCTGCTGGGTTTTCTCAAGCCTTCGGAAATGCCTATGGAACCGACGTGACCTCTCCATCGCCACCAAGATTCACGTGTACCGTGCATCTGTCCGGTTTGCCCTTCTCTGCCATTGTGAATGCTGGACTTTGGGCGTGGAGGACGAGCGAAAACTGGAGGTATTTGACCACTACTGATTGAGGATCATTCTTCGAGTGAGGTTCATCGACTTCGTCTCAAATGAGACAGTCCGCGCTCGCTGCAACAACCCAAGGATAACTCAGACCATCCAAGAAAGACGACTGAGGTGGATTGGGCATGTTCTTCGTCGTTCACCTCAGGAGCTCAGTGTTACTGCCCTCGATCCGTCACCGTTGCCCCATTGGAGGCGTCGAAGAAGGGGTCGGCTCAAAACCTGACTCGATACAGTTCGTCAAGACATGGAGATCGTTTTTGGGCCTTCGGTATTCGGTCTTCATCGTAGGGGAAGAGAATGGGTTGTGCAGTTCAGATCTGCTGCCGCGGATCGTCACGCGTGGAGAGGTACACTTCGTGAAATCATCGAGGCCGGCCAGATCCGGCATGATCGCAGTCGTATCAAGTACAAAATGTAAAGGTGGGTCAAGTGTCTTAGATACACTCTACATCTAACTGTAGGGATTTTGGTGTTGGCCGACAAACGTGCAGGGCGAAACACCCGGAACTAAAATGTGACCGAATTTCCTTAACTAGGCTTGGCAAGACGCCAGCCAAAAATGCATCCCTAAAGTCGTCCTCAAGCAGTTGCGTGTTTTCGCACTTTTGGAGATTTTGCAGTTTGCTAATTACAGCGATAGATTAGTAGACAACACAAAGATTCCCAAATCACAAGTTGCGGAATACAGACAAGCTTTTATGGAGAAAGAGAGCGCACCAGCTGCTCAACAAGCAGTTGCAGCAAGTAGTCATTTCGGGCACGTGTCGGTGGGGTTGTTGGGTCCCGGCGCACAAGCGTGTTTTCTCATTGTCTCTAGTTGCTTACAGCCAACCAACGGAGGACGCGGGGGTCGACTGGCTTCGGGCCTTCGCCATGCTGGTGCCAAGTCGTACGCGACTCCAGCAGAGAACTGGCGGGGAGTGTGAGGCGAACAGAAAGGCGGCATGTGTAAGCGACCACGCTGACGATCGCGGGTACGGACTACAACAGCAGCCCCACCCGACTGGATCGAAGGCGGTGCGTAGTGACGCCGAAGGAATTGCTAATGTGGAGACGATGGTGTTACAGGTGTGGGGGACGATGGTGTTACAGAGATGATGTAGTTGCCAGTAGTCAGAGGTAGATCTTGGAGTTGTAGTCCGGAACCGCACCCGTTACTGGGCAAACCAACACAGCGTTGTTCGGCAGCAATCTCAGTGAGGTCGATCCTGGGAGTAGGCTGAATATGAGCGTCAAAAGGCCTGGACAGTGCGTTGGCCATCTCATTCCGTGATCTGTCGATGCGGTGGATATTTAAGATGAACAGGAAGACAAAATCTAGTTGGCGGAACTCTGGGAGGAACGTTGAGTTCGTCAGTTTACAGCCTGAAAACGAAGGAAAGGGATTTATGGTCCGTGAATACGACGAAGACCCTGTTCTTAAGGGAGCTCCGGGAGTGTTTTCACGGCGAGGTAGACAGCCAAAAGCTCCAGTTCAAATGTACTATGGCACGACTCGGTAGGTGATAGCTCTTTGACGAAGAAAGCTAGGCGTGACGTCTGACCTTCGACGTGCTGCAGATGGCGTTTCTCAGGTGGGACTGTGATATGAGTTATCGTGCAGCACAATCCCAAGATACTACAGTCACGACAGGATGCTAACTTTTGGATGTACTTCGGCCGCCCGGAAGAACAGCAGTCAGTTCCAATAAGTTCAGTTCAGTTCTATTAAGACAAGGATAGGCGAACGACTTTGAGACCCCTATTGGCCAGAAAATATCTGAGGAGGAGTACCGACAAGTGGGAAACTGGGAAAGAAATGGCTTCGATGATTACATGCGACAAGAAGGCGGCAGTCTACTGGTCGAAAAAGAGTAAGCACGAACATCTACTCTATTACCGCAGGTAGCATGATAAATGTAATCTTGGTGACCGATCGTGTGGGTGTGTGTGCGGCTGATAATTGTGGAGCTTGGTTCGTGTCGAGTATGCATTTAAATGGATTTACACAGGAGAGGAGAACATCAGTGAACCTGTCGTCCCACGTTGCGATCACTTTGTTCCTGAAGTGAAACTTGCATCCATTGCTTCCTGCTTTACCCGCGGGCACTTCTAGAGGATAACCTCGCAAAGTGGGCGTGTTAACCGAAGTGAAACAACCATTGGCGACAAAGCAACAACCCAGGCCGTTCATAATGCAGAAAGTTAGTATAAGATCGCCTTCTAGTTGCTTATAGGAAAGGGAAAGCGGTCTGGGGTCGATAGTCTGTTTTCACTGGGCAGTGTCCCCAGACCTTTGGTCCAGGGTCCCTATGCCTGTATATGCGGCCGCACGAGGACCCCAGACATTCTGAAGAGGCTTACTTTGTCAAATCCCATGCAGACCCGCCTGACGAGTTACAATATAAGCATAGTCGAATTGAGCGTCAACTTGCTGTTCAGTGTTGATTTGATTGAGGATGTAATCTATACACCTAAGTCCTTCCGTCTGTTAGCGGACTGGAGACTTTGTAGTTGCTGATTCGAAGAAAGTTGCACTTACCTAAATTGGAGGGAATCATTCAGCACTTTCACCAGTCCTCCAGCCGTCTCAAGTTTGTTTGCGTATGGTCTTTGTCTGCCGCGGGGTGAAATCTCAGTTTAGGTCCTTGGCGCAGTCGTGTATGAAAACGAGGAACAATATGGGGCCTAAGGCTGAGCCCTGTGGGATCATTTCAGAAGTTAACTCCTCTAAGAACTTCGTCGGGCTTACATCGGGGTCTCAGGAAATCTAATCTTTCTGGTTTAACAACTCTTTCTGAATGATTGTTTTGGTAAAGAGGACCATCTCAGTAATAGACGCTCCCCAATTTTCATAAATCGGTGGAAAAAGGTCGAGTTCTCTCTCCACGATGGACAGGAGGGAATAAGCGAGGCGTTCAGTCTATTGCGAGTCCTCTGAGCTTTCCTCACCATCGACTGTTCACAGTAATGGGATAGGATCCTTTTTCCATGCACTCTGCTTTATATAACTGTAAAGGAATTTGGAATTAACCATAGCACGGCTCAGCGGATTTTTTTAGAAAGTACACCGAACTCCCGTGATGAGACTTCTGACTCGGTTTCACTGAAACTTATAACAGTTGAGGGACTCAGACGTCCTACCGATAAGGGGTCTTTCCCGCCATTTCTTGTTAATTTTTATCTTTAAGGATTTAGCCAACTAGGGGGGCTTTTCGTCAACGTTTTTCGCATGAGTGGGCAGTGGTTGGAGGCGAGTTTGTAACCCTAAACCTGGTCGATGTTGCGGGAAAGTGTGGATGCCCAGTCAACAGGACGGAGGTCACTTTCCATCTGTCCAAATGGCTTTTATAGAAAGTCTGCACAAAAATATTCTTTCTCGAATTCATTTTATAACAAATTACATCGAGTTTTTTTTACCTGAAGAAGGAGTATCTTTAGTTTGTAACACGTTCTCAGTACCCGGATAATTTTGGACCGTGCCGTAACTACACTTTCGCATAGGGCTTCAAATTACGAGTTGTATACTTTCTGGGAGTAAAATCGTACATTTGTCTGCGCGACATGGAAGATGTTATATATCACTCACAACGCTTTGAAATAAGTGTGAACCATGTTTTAATAAACGAACAGACACACTGAACGAATAGATGCGGTTTTAAGGGATTCCATAGTTGTTAACTTTTTTAAACCTAAAATACCCTTTCTCAAATTGCAAGATTTGAAAATGTAATTTCCTACTAAATTACACAAGAAAGAATGTTTCATGCGTTTCCTACAAAATATTCTTGAACTTGTAAGGACGTCGGGAACCAATGTGGAAAATTTGCTCTATTTAAGCGGTAATTTTTACCGCCTGTAGCTTTTGGAGAGGGCTGAATAGAAGCTCATTCAAAAGTCGACATTCCGTTGTGATTAAAATACCTTGCGAACTTGTTGCATGGTAGTCAATAGTACAACCCCACCTTGGCAATCCTTTCCACCAGAAAACACATTTTAGAATTTCAGTTACCGTTTCGCAAGATAAGCCAGCTATTGGATGTTTGCTCTAGTCTTGGCCTTCAAAGAAAAATCCAGACCATCTAGTGAGTTCTCTTTTTGAGTGAGTCGCAACGCAGTTGGCCCGAAATAAGAATAATCCGAGTTATTTTATTTTGACCCAACTATGGAAAACTCGGCGACCTCGGTGGGATTCGAAGCCACGACAGCAAAAGGAGTACAGTCAGCTGAGCTTCGAAGTCCCACCGGGAACCGATGATTTAATTGCATCTGTGTTAAGTTACTCGCCCAGTCTTTTGCAGCAAATGAAATTCATCAAATGTGATACGGTAAGCTAACTACCAAAACGTGGTTTCCTAAGTAATCAATCTAAAATCCACCAGATGACTACCAGGCTCAAGTAATTTGTTGGACCAAAAAAATCACTTAAAATCTGCTAAACACCCATTCGAATTATGACAAAGGCACATAAACATTTGATTTCTACAACCGAGACTGGCCGGCTCAGTGAGCATCTTCACGCAACAAGTTGCTAAAGTAATTCCAGCCTACTTGCGACAATCCTCTACCCTTCTGCCACCCGCAAAATCATCAAGGGCCAACGAGACTCTGAACACCGTTTTTTATACACGCCGTTTGCTTGCGCATATCAACGCCATCTTATCGTCAGCCTCCAGCCCAATCACAAGTGGCTGTGTGCCCTCCATTCCTCCCTTTCCTTCT